CGGGGGGTCTCCTCTACCCCTGAAGGCATCCCAATCCCCCCACGCCTGCTGCATGCTCAGTTGCCTTTTGTGCTGAGAAGCTGAGTTTGGTGCTGCAGAGGAACCTCAGGAGCCCAGAACGGTCACAGACCTGGGGCTCTGCACACTGTAGGGTGGGAGGATGACAGATGTCTTGGTGAGAGGGGAGGCTGGGGTGGGTCTGAGGTTTGCCCCAGGCCCGGGGTGCAGGGGACAGGCGGGACAGGCAGGAGAGCTCACAGCTGCCGCCGGCAAAAGGCTCTTCTCCGGACAGTCCCTGGCCATGAGCCCAGGCACATGAGGGAATTTCCCTCTCCAGCCTTTGTGGTTTTGGTTTCCTTCCTGAAGCTCCATCAGCAGCAGCCAAGCCAGCTGGTTCCAGGAGCTCCCTGTCCCAGACCATCTCCCTGGCACGAGACAGGCACGGCCAGGGCAGGTCCCTCTGCATGGGGACAGTGACTCTGGCACCTGCCTGTGCCGCCTGGCTCCATGCTGCCCATGGGGATGGGGCTGGTGGTGGGGCAGCACTGTGGTGGGGGTCTGTAAGAGCAAAGGAGAGATTGTAGCCCCTAAGGTCAAACGTGCAGGGAGCAGCCTGTCACAGCCTCTCGCCTGCCGCCAGCACTGGGCAGAGGAGAGCAGCCGGGAGGGGACACTTGGACAAGGTGGAGGACCTGCTGTGGGGAGAGATGCTGCTGAATCCAGAGGATGCATCAGCTGCTCTTGATGGTCCTGTCTTGAGGCTTGGGGCAGCATCAGCCCTTTCATGTCTGCTGCACAGAAATATGCCAGAGATGTTCCGGTCAGCAGTTCCTGGCCCAGCATTTATGACATCCCATTTATGACACCCTTCTCCATGTCAGCTCTGACAGCCCAACACTCCCTTTCCTGCAGGCTTCTTTGCTCTGCAAGAAGTTCAGGGACATCCATGGTGCAAGCTGGGATGGGCTCCAGCATGAGATTGCACATGGGACATGGGGCACAAAGAAGTGTGGAGCCACATATCAAGTCTCAAGATGCAAGTCAGGACTCGGCAAAGCCAAGTGGTTCACCAGCCAGATGTGTGCTGAAGGAATAAGAGTCCAGCTGAGAGGCAAGGGAAGAGTCAAGCTCCCCAGTTGTCTGCTGGAAGGTGACCATCGCTCAGCCATCAGACATCTCGTGTGCTTACAGAAGTGGACAAAGCCAAGCCCAGCTGCTTCTGTGGGGTCTGGCAGGTTGGCTCTGCTGGACCCCATGAACCACAGGCTTCTCCTTCACTACCTGCCACTCAGTAATGCCCAGAAGGTGCCCAGAAGGTCAGAAGACCCTCACGGTGCCATGGGCAAAGCATCTGGATGTGCTTAGGCTGGACCTGGTATCCCAGTCCTCTCTGGTCTTTCTGAGAGCACAAACCCTGTTCTCTCAGTGAAGTTGGGAGAAGCCCTGGGAAGAGGTGAGCCACGCAGACCTTCCATCCCAATGGCTGCGCTGTCCCTGCTGGGCCCTGCTCTAACCCAATTCTGCAGTTTCCCGCCCATCAGCCCCTCCAGGCCAGTTCTCCCCGTCTCCACGTCTCGCTCTCAGACATTCTCGATGTGAGGAGTGCAGCTGTGGTTATTTCTGGGTGATGTTGCTGAAGCACCTGCTATGTTAAGGGATGTACATCCTGCCACAACCTCTCCCTGCAGCTCTTTGGCAGCTGATGGTTTGAACTCGGCCTCACGGCCGAGCATCTTTGAGTTTTGTCTTTCTAACCTACACTGGCCATGTTCTGGCAGCTCCACATCGCTCAAGAAGCCTTTCTCCTAAACCCACACATTTATAGCGCCCATCACCATTGCTTCCCTGGCAAAGCGAGGACTGGCTGGATCAGAGCTGAGCACGAGCGTGGTCTGTGCATCTGCTTAGCTCCTGATGGGAACGTAAAGGTCTCTCTGGCTGCCCTCGTTGCTCTCCTTGTTGTTGCACTCTGCTCCCAAGCCTTCTCTGCTCCAGCTGAATCCACCTCTGACTTTGGGTTGGTTTTTCCTCTCCTGGAGAAAGAAGGGCTCACAATGGTGACTTGTAATGCCTGAGGAACAGGCATGATCTGCTTGGACTCCTTGGTCTGGAGTACCTGCTGGTCTGCCTGCTGGGAGTGCCTGTTCTCTGCCGGTGGTACCCGTCTGTGCTGTGTCCCCTCCTGGTCATTCGGGTTCAGTCCTGCACCCCAGATCTCTCCCAGCCAGCCGTGATGCAGCTGGATGCTGCTTTTAGTGCACTTGGCAGCAGTTTTCCAGGAAACACGTGAAGGACTATTTCTACACCACCAGCAGGTGCCGACAGCTGGCTGTTCGCTGGGTGTGGGCTGTTGCCTGTGCAGGAAGCCTTTGGCTCGGCCCCATAAATCTTCCTCTGTTTTGAGAACAAGAGTGGGGTTTGTCGGGGAGTTACTGGGGATTGGCCATCACTCAGTCCTGGCAAGGAGAGATGTTTTCTGGTTGCAAGGAGATGGCTGAGAAGGACCTGCTCATGCTGATGCCGCATCAGCCCACCTCACCCAGCCTGACTCTGCGAAGACAACCTCGTGCCTCAGTGTCCCCATTTGTAAGAGAGGGATAGAAATGCTTAAAAGTTTTGTGCCAAGTGCTCAAGGAGCCACTGTATGAAAGCAAACCAACATGAGCACTGTTTGATTCTACTCATGTTCAGGAAGGCCTGGCTGGTATTATCTCCTCCCTGCTTCCCTCTGCTGCCAGGCTATGTCCCAGGGTCCCCTTGCCTCCTGCCATAGCAGGCTGTGCCAGAGCTGCTTTGGAGGGATGGAAAACAAACCTTGTACCTCTCCCCCGCCCCGCTGAGCTG